TGTCTGACAGAAAACCTGCTTTAAAAATACCACTCTGACCCACCGCCAGAACGTGGGCCCCCACTTCCACCCGCTAACTTCCTCTTTTTCCAGCGGGATTTGTAGGTCACCGGCCCCAGGCGGAAGGCGGGTGGGTGGGGCCAGGTGGTGGGAGGGGCCTCGGTAGGCGGGGCGTCCGCGCCCGAGCGAACCGCGCCACAGAGAGCCTCATCGGAAGCGCGGCAGGTACCGCCCCCCGGCGCTGCATTCTGGGATGCGGCCTCGGCCAATGAGGCGCGGGCTACGTCACAAGGGCTCCCCTTCCCTGCTGCCTGGCGTCGCGGGGCACTCGGGCCCGCGTCGCCTCGTCGTGCCCGTGGCCCGCGGGCCGTGCCGCGCCGTCCACCATGGTGGACTACTACGAGGTGCTGGGCGTGCCCCGCCAGGCCTCGTCCGAGGCCATCAAGAGGGCGTACCGCAAGCTGGCGCTCAAGTGGCACCCCGACAAAAACCCCGAGAACAAGGAGGAGGCGGAGAGGCGGTTCAAGCAGGTGGCCCAGGCCTACGAGGTGTTGTCAGACGCCACGAAGAGGGACGTCTACGACCGCTACGGCGAGGCCGGAGTGGAGGACTGCGGCGGGGGCGGCGGGGGCGGTGGGCTTTTCCGCGACCCCTTCGAGCACGTCTTCACCTTCCGCGACCCGGCCGAGGTCTTCAGGGAGTTCTTCGGCGGCCGGGACCCATTTTCCTTTGACTTCTTTGGAGACCCGCTGGGGAACCTTGTGGGCGGTCGGAGGAGCTCCCGGAGAAGCAGAAGCAGGGAGACCGCGCCCTTCTTCACCGCCTTCAGTGGATTTCCAGCATTTGGGGGTGGTGTTTCTTCTTTTGATACAGGATTTAGCTCCTTTGCTTCCCTGGGGAATGGAGGCCTTTCTTCCTTCACCATGTCTTATGGTAGTGGTGGGACCGGCAACTTCAAATCCATGTCGACTTCCACCGAAATCGTCAATGGCAAAAAAATCACCACCAAGAGAATCATTGAGAATGGCCAAGAAAGGGTGGAGGTGGAAGAAGACGGAGAGTTAAAGTCCCTGGTCATAAACGGCAGAGAGCAGTTGCTACACATTGACGCCAAATAATTCCAGTCCAAGTTGAATTCAAAAAACATTGTGAGGAGCAGCAGGACTTTTTTTTTTTTTTGAAGATTGCAAGTGCACTCTACTTTCAGAACAACTGTACTCGAGAATTTATAAACAGCTCATGCCGATACCTATTTGTTGTTATTATTGGGACCATACAAGTTAGACCTCCATTTGTCTTTAGAACTTGTTGTAAATACCTGTATGCACTTTGCTATTTATTAAACATAATCCCGAGGCAGATGCTGATTATTTCGTAGTATTGGGACAAAATGTTTACAGCACCTTGAACCTTGCCTTTCCATTTTGTTTGAAATGTGAGCCAGGTAGTTTGCTCTGAAGTTAACGTTGCCAAGATAACTCGTTTTACTTCCAATTTTTCAACACATGGTAGTAAAGGATGTGAGTATATTAATCCTTCTGGCTTAAAGATGCTTTTTAGTCCCACATAAATGCCAGTGACTAGTAAGAGTTTTCCGGTTAAATATAGCATTAAATGTAGCCTTTTTAAAAAACAGGTTAACCTGACAAAGTGGTGTATTCGGTTCCAATGGCTATTGGAACAAATTACCACAAATTTGGTGGCTTAAAACAAGGCACATTTATTCTCTTAAAGATCTGGAGGTCGGAAGTCTAAAGTGAGTTTCATGGACTGACATCATTGTTAGCAGGAACATGTTCCCTCCAAAGGCTTGAGCAAAATGCTTCAGTGAATTCTTCACGGTTACATGGTTAACAACATCCTTAGGATGCTATTCAGGTCACGTAAGCAGTAAACCAGTGGTAGTGATTACTCAAAACCCAACACAAATAGGATTACTAGCCTGTACCCAGCTTGGTTCTACAACTGTGATTTATGGAAATGTGGAAAGTATTTCCATAAAACTACACAAAACTATCCCATTGCCATGTGCAGAATGTATCTATTTTAAAATAGGTTGACAAAAGCCAGGAATATTGGAGAGCCTGGGATACTGATTGGGTGAGGCAGCATATGCATATTGGAGAGAATACATTTCTGTTGCCATGGTTTATCCCCGTCGTGAAAACTGTTTTGGGCATGGCTACCTTGGGATAGCCCATCACAAAATGTGCCATCCATCCCCTTTGGTTGTGTCTAAGGAAAAGTGTGCGTAAGACATGGGAACAAAAAGGCAACTGAACTAGATAGACTAAAAGTGCAGCATTATTTGTAATTCTTTACAGGAAGCTCATGTGGCCTGAGCACACTTAATTAAGAACATGTGAAGTTGAGTTAAGCCCAGTCCCCATAGAATGGTGTGCATACAAGACCTAGCAGGAACATAGGATTCAGCCATTACTATCCCACAAGGGCACACAGTCTGTTAAAACCACGGCAAGTGGTCACTGAGGTATCCTGGGTAGTGCTTCTTAGCCACTAATTGTACAAGAAGTATTATAATAAAGAAGACTGCCAGAGCTTTTAAAAAAATGAGTTCATTTGCCTGCCAGGCAAGGGGACTCACCAGTGAAGATATTCATCGTTGTTGGTGGGGAGGGGAGGAGGAGCAGGGGGAGAAGGGATGTCAGGAGTTTTGAAGTGATAGGAAAGTGCACACTTTCATGGTGGTTATGCTAATTAAGGGTTAACAACTACTCAGGAAAGTCTTCAGTTGGGTGGCATACTGGGGTCACTCAGAGGTCATGGATCTCAGCAGCTCTAGTGGAAGCATCCTACAATGGATGAGTCAATGGATGAATATAAAAGCAAAATGTGTATCCATACGATGGACTATTATAGCCTTAAAAAGTAAGGATATTCTGACCTAATGCTACAATATGCATGAACCTTGAGGACATTAGTCTAAGTGAAGTAAGTCAGTTACGAAAAAGGCAAATAGTGTATGCTTCCATTTCCATGAGATGCCTGGAGTGGCCAAATTCATGAAGACAAAGAATGGTGGCTAGTTATAACAGTTGAGGGCGAACAGCATCCAGTTTTGATATATCTGAATTAGTGCTGCTAAGTGGAAAGTTGCCTTTTACAGAAAAAGAAACCATTTTATTTAAAGAATTTTCCAAATTGAAAATCTCTTTTAAAAAATGTCTTGGCCCCAGAATCACAGTCCTGTATATCAATATTCCTCTTTTATGGAAAGGCTTGAGTGGGCTTTCAGAGTAGAGAAAATGGCATTTCCTTTGGTGCAAAAGATGACCATCTCAAAGACCCTGCAGTGGACTCTCCATGGACTCACTAGCACTTTCCCACAGAGCAACCCCAGTTAAATAAGGAAGTAGTTTAAGACACCATTTTCAGAATTGGGGATGTCACGGTTTTTTAAATAGAAAAAACTTAAATATACATTTTTAGGTGTATCTATGGAACATTTGCAAATGTTAATAATAAGTTACCAATCATAGAAGCCACTAGCTACACGTGACTACCAAGCATTTGAAATGGCAGCCAGTCCAAATTGAAATATGCTGTAAGTGTAAAATACATACCAGATTTTGAAGATTTAGTATGAAAGCAAAAGAATGTAAAATATCTCAGAGCACTTGGGTGGCTCAGTTGGTTAAGCATCCAACTCTTGATTTTGGCTCAGGTCATGATCTCACCATTAGTGAGATTAAGCCCCACTTTGGGCCCCATGCTGGCAGCACAGAGCCTGCTTAGGACTCTCTCCCTCTCTCTCTGCCCCTCCCCGGCTCACGCACTCATGCTCTCTCAAGCACACGCATGCTCTCTCTCAACATAAACTTTTTAAAAAATAATGTGAAATATCTCATTAATAATTTTATGTTGAGTATATGTTGAAGGTATAATGTTTTAGATATATTTGATTGAATAAAATACATCAAAATTAGTTTTAACCCTCTTCATGCCTTTTTTTTTTTTAATTTTTTTTTTCAACGTTTATTTTATTTTTGGGACAGAGAGAGACAGAGCATGAACAGGGGAGGGGCAGAGAGAGAGGGAGACACAGAATCGGAAGCAGGCTCCAGGCTCTGAGCCATCAGCCCAGAGCCCGACGCGGGGCTCGAACTCACGGACCGCGAGATCGTGACCTGGCTGAAGTCGGACGCTTAATCGACTGCGCCACCCAGGCGCCCCATTCATGCCTTTTTTTAAACATGCCTACTAAAATTTTTTAAACATTCTCTGATTAAAATATAAAATGATTAGAAAAATAAGAGAAATATAGCTAATATAAACCTTAACTATATGGGAATAAAGAAACAGCTTTGAAGATAGCCATGAGCTTAAAGAGAAAATCCAAACCATTGAGTTACCAAAAACAAAAAGGAAAAATATATGAGCAATTTATGCGAAAACCTAGGAAACACAGGAAAAGTTTTATGACCTTCAGTGTTTCATTATTAAGAAAACTCTAGGGGCGCCTGGGTGGCGCAGTCGGTTAAGCGTCCGACTTCAGCCAGGTCACGATCTCGCGGTCCGTGAGTTCGAGCCCCGCGTCGGGCTCTGGGCTGATGGCTCGGAGCCTGGAGCCTGTTTCTGATTCTGTGTCTCCCTCTCTCTCTGCCCCTCGCCCGTTCATGCTCTGTCTCTCTCTGTCCCAAAAATAAATAAACGTTGAAAAAAAAAATTTAAAAAAAAAAAAAAAAACTCTAACAGGAACTTAATGCTTACCAAAGGAAAATTAGAAAAATAACTATAACTATAAAATAAACCAAAAGATACAAGAATGACAATCACTAATAAAAAGAAAACTGGAATTCATGAAATAGAAAATAAAAATAGTAAAAAGAATAAGCAATTCCAAAAATTATTTCTATGAGAAAACCAATAAAAGAACTCCACCTATCAGAAATCTTAAGAAAGAAAAGGAGCAAAAATATGACTTAGACTCTGATCTTTCATATTTGGAGAAAATTTCCATCAAGTACCGAAAGAAGTCACATCTAAGGGTAAACCAAAGTAAGGGAGACAAAATCTCAAAGTAAAAAAGATGACATACATTGTCCTGCTGGGCACTTTTTAAATAATGATAATAGATAATATTTATTGTATGCTCATTGTGACAATAGTCAGGCCAGAATAGTTGGGTCCCTGCCCACCTGCCCGTTCAGCTAGAAGAACGGGAGTGAGAATTTGAACCAGTGCAGTTAACTCCAGAGGATATATTTACATAGCAACACTAAAAGAAAAGAGTACCAGTTACTTTTTAAATGCCTTCCTATTTTTCAATTTTTACAAGCCTAATAAATATTTTTTTAAGTGAATAAATGCATTGCACAAAGGAAAAAGCCAGATAGTATAGCTCCCTTGTGGTCTGAAGCAAAAAGAGAAATGGCATTAGAGTCCTGTGCAATATGTACATAAATAAAAAGAGATACAGAAGAATGCAAAAACTATAAAAGATCTAAAGTCATGGAAGTTAATATAAAGTAAGTGAATATGGTATAAATGGGAGGAAAAAAGATGGCTAACTCAGTGGATTAAGAAATAAAATAGCTCCCATGAGTCCTATTTCAATTAAACCCAAATATCCAGGATTAATGTCAGATGCCTCTGAAAGTTATTTTTTTTTTCAATGTTTATTTATTTTTGGGACAGAGAGAGACAGAGCATGAACGGGGGAGGGGCAGAGAGAGGGAGACCCAGAATCGGAAACAGGCTCCAGGCTCCGAGCCATCAGCCCAGAGCCTGACGCGGGGCTCGAACTCACGGACCGCGAGATCGTGACCTGGCTGAAGTCGGACGCTTAACCGACTGCGCCACCCAGGCGCCCCTGAAAGTTATTAGTAAAGCAATAATTTCTACCATGGAAACCTGGGCTAGGAGGGTGGGCCTGGTGATGCGGTCAGCCCTCCCAACAACCCTTTCCCCTTTTAGACTCCATTCTTTTCATCACCGTCCTCCGCTTCACTGGGTTTATAGGCTCCTAGTTTTATCTCTTCCTTAATCCCTCTGACCAGCCTTTGATGACTTCAGCATCCCAAGCCATTCAACCGACCTGGCATGCAATTCTGCTAGCCCCGAGTTATATACCAGATATCAACACCTGGTCGGGAAACTTGTCAGCACAGCTCCCTCTCTGAAAACTTGAACTCGGTTACTTTCTCGGGTCACAGAGACCCCCACCTTCTCTCTTCTGCATTG